TCGTCGTCTTCCTCCGCTTATCCAGGTCTGGGTCACAGAGGCAGCATCCCAACTAGGGAGCTCCAGACCATCCTCTCCCCGGCCACCTCCACCAGGACCCCAAGGCGTTCCCGGACCAGATTGGAGATGCAACCTCTCCAACATGTCCTGGGTCGACCCGGGGGCCTCCTGCCGGCAGGACATGCCCGAAACAACTCCCCAGGGAGGCGTCCAGGAGTCATCCTGACCAGATGCCCAAACCAACTCAACTGACTCCTTTCGATCCGGAGGAGCAGCGGTTCTATTCAGAGTCCCTCCCAAATGTCCAAGTTCCTCACCCTATCTCTAAGGCTGAGCCTGGCCACCCTATGGAGGAAACTCATTTCGGCCACTTGTACCCGCGATCTCGTTCTTTCATTCATTACCCAATGCTCATGACTATAGGTGAGGATTGGGACGTAGATCGACCGGTAAATCGAGAGCCTGGCTTTCTGGCTCAGCTCCCTCTTCACCACGACAGATCGGCTCAACGTCCGCAGCACTGCAGTCGCCGAACCAATCTGCCTGTCGATCTCCCGATCCCTCCTACCCTCACTTGTGAACAAGACCCTGAGATACTTAAACTCCTCCACTTGAGGTAGGACCTCTCTCCCGACCCAGAGTTGGAAAGTCACCCTTTTCCGGTTGAGAACCATGGTCTCAGATTTGGAGGTGCTGATCCTCCTCCCAGCCGCTTCACACTCGGCCGCGAACCTACCCAGCAAGAGCTGAAGGTCAGAGCTGGATGAAGCTAGGAGGACCACATCATCCACAAAAAGCTAAGAAAAGATTCTCCTGCCATCAAACTCGACACACTCCACACCACGGCTGCGCCTAGAAATTCTGTCCATAAAGGTAATGAACAGAACCGGTGACAAAGGGCAGCCCTGGCGGAGTCCAACCCTCACCGGGAACAGGTCCGACTTACAAACAGCTATGCGGACCTAACTCACGCTGCTCTGGTAAAGGGACTGAATGGTCCTTAACAGAAAGCCACCCACCCCATACTCCTGGAGCGTCCCCCACAGAGTGCCCCTGGGGACACGGTCATAAGCCTTCTCCAAATCCACAAAACACGTGGATTGGTTGGGCAAACTCCCATGCCCCCCTCATCACCCTTGCAAGGGTATAGAGCTGGTCCGCAGTTCCACGGCCAGGACGAAAACCACATTGCTCCTCCTCAATCTGAGATTCAACTATCGATCGAACCCTCCTCTCCAGTATTTTTCCAGGGAGGCTGAGGAGTGTGATCCCCCTATAGTTGGAACACACCCTCTGGTCACCCTTCTAAAAGATGGGGACCACCACCCCAGTCTGCCACTCCATAGGAACTGCCCCTGATGACCACGCAATGTTGCAGAGACGTGTCAACTACGACAGCCCTACAACATCCATAGCCTTGAGATACCCAGGACGAATCTCATCCACCCCTGGGGCTCTGCCGCTGTGTAGTTGTTTGACTACCTCAGCAACTTCTGCCCCCGAGATTGGACAGTCCATCCCCAGGTCTCCTGGCTCTGGTTCCTCCTCGGAATGCGCATAGGTGGGATTGAGGAGCTCCTCAAAATATTCCTTCCACCGTCCGACGATAGCCCCAGTTGACGTCGGCAGCTCCCCATCCCCACTGTAAACAGTGTGAGTGAGTTGCTGCCTTCCTCTCCTGAGGCGCCGGACAGTTTGCCAGAACCTCTTTGAAGCCGATCGATAGTCTTTCTCCATGGCCTCACCAAACTCCTCCCAGGCCCGAGATTTTGCCTTGGCAACTGCCACTGCTGCACCCCGCTTGGATATCCGGTACCTGTCTGCTGCCTCCGGAGACCCACCGACCAGCCACACCTTGTAGGCCTCCTTCTTTAGCCTGACAGCTCCCCGAACCTCTGGTGTCCACCAGCGGGTGCAGGGGTTGCCACCACGACTGGCACTGACCACCTTGCGACCACAGCTAGCAACAGCCGCCTCATCAATCGCAGAGTGGAACAAGGTCCGCTCGGAGTCAATGTCCCCCACTGCTCTCGGGACGCGGTCAAAGCTCTGCCCTGGGTGGGAGTTGAAGACCGTCTTGACAGGTTCTTCTGCCAGGCGTTCCCAGCAGACCCTCACTATGCGTTTGGGTCTGCCAGGTCTACGCAGCATCTTCCCCTGCCATCTGATTCAACTAACCACCAGGTGGTGATCAGTTGACAGCTCTGCTCCTCTCTTCACTCGGGTGTCCAAAACATACGGCCGTAGGTCAGATGATAAGACTACAAAGTCTATCATCGACCTGCGACCTAGGCTACCCTGGTACCAAGTGTACTGATGGGCATCCTTATGTTCAAACATGGTGTTCGTTATGGCCAAACTGCGGCTTGCACAGAAGTCCAATAATGAAACACCACTCGAGTTCAGATCAGGCGGGCCGTTCCTCCCAATCACACCCCTCCAGGTCATGCTGTCATTGCCCACGTGAGCACTGAAGTCCCCCAGCAGGACAATGGGGTCCCCTGATGGAGCACTATCTAGCACTCATCCCAGGGACTCCAAAAAGGGTGGGTACTCTGAACTCATATTTAGCCCATAAGCGCAAACTACAGTCAGGACCCGTTCCCCGACCCGAAGGCACAGGGAAGCTACTCTCTCGTCCCCCGGGGTAAACCCCAACACACAGGCAGAGAGTCTTGGGGCTAGCAAAAAGCTAGTTTTGAAAAGTTTTGAATCTGCACCGTCTTCCTGACATCACTCACTCCTGCCTATAAAGGACACAAAGACATATTTTGAAAGATTGTTACTGTTTATATTGACTGTTTATTCAATAAATTGGGCCTGCTTTTCAAACCTTAGCTCTTTTATATCTTTCATATTCTATGTATTATACTTACTGTACACACCACATTACACTTTACTGCTTATTTCACATAGTTGGATGTTCAACTGCATTTTGTTGTTCCAGTATTGGTCATTTTAGGTTAGTCCAGTCATCCAGAAACAAGATTCAGGGTAGATGACTAGGCTAATATCTCCCGCTAACACCACAGACATATTGGACCTGAAAAATATTTTTTTTCTACCTCAGAGATAAGTACTTGTAGTTGTTCACTACCTTTTTTGTCTGGACTGTACGTAGCATTACTATGATAAATATATAGTTACCACTTAAAGTCATTCTAGTTATTAATTTAGCCGTGTTGAATTCAATTTAATTACGTTAACAACTTTGTTCAAATGACCATGCCAGTCCAGTTCTCACTGCCACCTGGCTGCGGTCTGTGTAGCTAGCTAAAAACAGTATGAACAGCTGAGGCTCTGTCCTCTGAGCACATACTTAGTATTTTGATAGAATCGAATTCATGACATTTTTATCATTCACATATTTTTGTTTCTGCTGTTGGATGATAGAACAAGTATGAATTACTGAGTGGAGCGCGGGTCCGGTAGACTACCTGCTATCCATTGCTATCCCAAAGCTTTCGTCATGTTCGCTCGTCTCAACGCATGAGTGAAAAAAACAAAAGCTCTCCGCTGCTCCTTTGTCACTCAGCAGAGAGAAGGAGAAAAACTTCTCGCTCTATAAACTGCGAAAAAGCAATACTCCGTGAACCGAGTCGCTACTTTTGGCCCTTCTTTGGAGAAATAAATCTAGGGGTGAAAAATCTGTAAATCTAGCCAAAAAGACAGTTGGAAAAACAGAAGTGGAACTGGAACTGAAGGGGAATATGCAATCTGATTGGTTGGAAGTGTCATGTGGGGCACTGTGCCAGCTAGATGCAGAAATGAAAGGAGAAGCGCTACAGCCCAATATTGCCCAAAATGTTTAATCCGTTTGTTTATCCACAAGGAGGGAAAATTATTTTCCAGGACAACTCAAAAATTCCCAGGACATTTTGCAATTCCCCCCATTTTCCATGTGTTTTCCATGACTGGAAAATTGGACTATCATTTTCCAGGTTTTCCAGGTTTTCCAGGACGCGTGGGAACCCTGAATATATGTACAATGCCAAAAAACATTCTGCAATTGTTTGAAAAGAGGGAAAGTAGTTATATGTTGAAGGGAACTGAACTCTTCAAAAAGCCCAGATTTAGAACCAGAATGAAGGAAATGAGTATTTCGGAGAATGGTGTGAAATTATGGAATTGCCTGGACAGAGAAGTGAAAGAGTCAAGAGCTCTAAAACTGTTTAGAGAATATATTAGATCAAGTGTGTTGGGTAGATATGAATGTGAATAATGTCTGTGGCTATAACTGAAATGTGAACAAGGAACGTGACAGAATGAACTTTGAGAAATGCATAATTATAGTTTAGTTATTTTTGTTTTTAAAAAGGGGGCAGAAATTAGAAGATTTTTTCTTCCATCTGCTCCCTTTCATTCAAGTTGTATTGTGTTAATATGCATACAGTTTATTTATTTGTTGTATTTTTTTAATTGAATGAAATAAACATGAGAAGAATACGTGCTAATAAAATAGAGCGATTATATAAAGGCACATATTTGCAGAAATAACAAGACAAAACATCTGATTTGTGCAAATGAACCATATATCTGTAGTGACTCTACAGGAAATCACATACCTTATCTTAAATAACTTGAATGCACTTTTGGTATGTAGTCTGCAAGTCGTTCCTGAAAAAATAAAAATAAAAAAAGACATGGGGGACATGGTGTCTTGATCAAGACATTGTGAACCTTTATTATTTTGGTACGATTTAACAAAAATAATCTTGTCTGATATTCAATTTGATCAACGCCACATTTATTGATTGACCCCATTCTACCTTTTGCTTCCCTGCATTGATCAAAAAGAGTGAATCCCATACCAAAATAGAATGTTACTTTTCTTCTGTTTTTTTGACTTCCAGGTCGTTCCCAATCACATCTTTCATAAGTTCCAAAACAGAGATGGCAACCAGTTAAGGTGGAACAACAAAATGACTTTCATCTGAGAGTCAATAAACTCATTTAACCAAACTGTGTCAGATAATCTCTCTCTCTCTCTCTCTCTGCAGTATGTGGATCTGAACTCTTCTCGTAACCTCCTCATCCTTGGTTTCTCCACCTTCAGTGGACTCGTGCTACCCACCTGGTTTCACTCAAACCCCAGCGTCGTTGACACAGGTGAATTTAGCACACGCTTAAAACCTCTTTCCGGAGTACTTCTCTTATCTGGTGGCACCAACTGGTGGCTAACAGGAATATCACACAAATAGTTTCTCCTTCCGTTTTTTTAAGATGACGACTTCACATTTGTTTACAAATGTGCTTCTGTAGCCGGCAGAGTTAAAACACGTTGTTTTACAAGTATTATTCTCATGTCATGCTGTGTTCTCATATGTTTATATTTTAGAGACTTACTTGTCCATGAAAAGTTCATCATCTCTTCATCAGCTGAGGTATTCTTTAAATTTGAAGCAAGTAGGTGGCAGTCTAACGCTATTGGTCAGTTCTGGTTGGCGCTCAGTTTCCCATTGCATCTCTGCGGGGCAGGAGGCATGCTTAGCCAAAAAAATATAAAGACATATTGCTTACAATATATCACAGTACATATGTCAATCACTTTTACAGATTTCTGAAAAATCATACATAATTTCTGAAAGGGTAAAACTTCAGAAAGAAACTTTACCACACACACTGAGTAACAGTTTTATGTGTTGACAGTCATAAAAGGGACACGTTCCCACTGATTCAAAGATCTTTGTTTTAGATTTTCACCCTCATTTCCCATCATTACTGTCACTTTGTAATGTCAATGGATCCAACTGGAAGCCAATGTGAACCCAAAACAAAAAGTGCACACCTGGACCCTGTGTTTTCTGTACAGTTTATAAGACCACACCTTGTTAACAAGTGTCAGCATGTCAGGACAGGGCCACTGGTTGGTAATATTAATCAGTGAGCTGCAGAGGAAGAGCAGCAAACATGAACATTAGCTTTCTATCAGCATGACTCGACCCAAATCAGGTGTGTCTACTTTGCAGAATTTTTATTCACATAGATTTTATCAGATGTAAATCCAGAGAGCTATGATGATTTAGAAATGTACAGTCAGGGTCTGTCTCTGCTGTGGATTGATTATGTTGATCAGTGTTACAAACAGTTTAAATCATTCATGTCAATAAAATCTACACAGGAACCATATTTTGATCAAACACAAGAAAAGTAGTTGCTGCCACATAATCCACATCAGGCTGTTCTGATATGTTGATAGTGAATGTTGGGCTGTGGGAATCCATTGTGTGTCTAGTTAGAGATTACGCTTAGAAAGGTGGGAGCAGTTTTGCCAACCTAAGCTCCTAAAGGAGCGGATGCTGCCAAATCCCAGTGGTCCAGATGGCTAGAACTTTTCCTTCAGCCTGTAGCCTAGACGTTGATGTAGGAGGGACAACCTTTTCATTGGACTTACCATATGCACTTTTGTGTTCATTTATTTATTTTTTCTTTAGTTTTTTATAATTTACATTAAGTGAGGTCTTTGGGGTCATTTAGCAGTAGTTCAGTTATGGCCAATCCAATGAATCATGACTTCTAGTTAAATGTAAGGAGCGATTCAGCCTGCTGGAGGCAGTGTTTGACCTTTTAACGTTTTGATCTTTGATTCTTTCCACATTCGTACTGTTTGCTTGCTGTCACTGGGGGGAAATGAGACAGGGCTTTGGGGACATGTATTTTCCCATGTTCCACACTTGCCTTCATCATACATGAAACTAAAGTTAGCAGTTTTTTATTAAGGTGTGTTGTGGTGTTTTATTCACACATGACATGAGGAAACGAAAGAGGGGCCATGGTACCAGAGTTAAAGTGCTTGGGTGATAGGTGAACATTGTAACCAATGCACTGAGTTTATTCAGGGTTAAGTCATGGTTCACTGGTACCTCTGGCCTGGCTGTGTGTACTCGTGTGTGTAAATGTGTTGGCTGAGGGGGTTATTTACTGATAACTTGGATTTGTTTTACCTTAAGTTCATTAGACAAAATGAAGACTGTATAATCAATTTGTCACGCTAGAAAATGAATGAGACGTCTACCACTGGCTGCAAGCTGGTCTACCCCCCCCCATCCCCCCCACCCCCAAAAGAAAGGACACAGTCAAAAGAGCAATCCTCAAGATTAAACAGCTCTTCTATGCAGACATAAGACTTTGATCCCATAAGCCACGTGATGCTAGTGTCTCCAAGGGAAGTGCTAATCCAGAGTCATCATTGGGCATGAGGGCTTGTCTGGTTTTCTTGGGTTTAGACTGCTTACCTTCCAATCCTCTTGGCCAGGCCCCATGTCAGTGGCTGTAATCTGCCTGGCTCAGAAAATGTCCAGAGTCTTTCTCCAGCCTCAACACTCAGCTGGTATCTTCACACAAGAACAGGCCTGTCAATGATCTATGAAAACAAATGGTTGCTCTCCCAGACATACAGGCCGTGGGACTTGCAGCCAACCTAGGGGGTGCCATGAACTTTTGACTCATGCTTATAAGAAAAGTGTGTGTGTACCTGGGGAAGGGTTTATTGAACACAAAAGTTTTCAGAGTAAAATGACGTCAGCACTGTTTGCAGTTCCTGATCCATCTGATGCAACTTCATTGGAGAGTTTGCTGCCTGAGGGACATTATGAAGGAATGCCAACCAGCACGCAGACATTCACACACTCAATGGCTCTCTGTCTTCACCCAATTGATGGTTTCCACAAATACCACAATAGAGGCTGACCCGGACTCAGGAACTTAGTATCTCTGTGGTCTGGTGATAACAAGGGTCCTCCTTAGAAACCAAGTCATCGACAAAGTCCATGTATCTGATAGTGGGTCTGATGTGCTTTGGAGTCCTGCTCATAGTTTGTCAAATATCATATCATTTTAAATTTACCAGTCCTGGTATGTGTCCTTGTAGTAACCTAAAAGTAACTGCCTGCAATGTTTGCATGTATTTGATTCATTTTAGTTATAGTTTTCTAAGCATTTACTTCAGTTTAACACGTTGTTGAATGAAGAAGGGCTTAAGTTCAAGCCTCAGTTCATCCAGGTTACAGAAACTTTTCTTCTCTCAGTTATTTTTGGATTTATTTATCCTTGGATCAAAATGCTGTTTTTCTTGGCAAAAAGGAATTCCTCTCTATGATTACTGCCTGTACCATTGTTATAATGCTTAATTGGATTTTGTTTGTTGAGCTTCCAGATCTGAAAAACAAGTGCTTTCAGAAAACCCTTCTTCCAATAAAAACTTCAGTCACATCCAGAGTTTCCTGAGTAACTGTCCACTTTGCCAAAGGTGCAGCAATGTTGCATTTTTACATTTTTCCTTTTTGTAAGTACCTACAATGTAAGAATGTTCATTGAATTACAATTACACTGAGTCACATGCAAGTTTAGGTCAAAGAGGAATACAGAATTTTAGCCCTTTTTAATACTTTCATCACTTTTCTGCTGCATAATCTAAAGTTTAAAGTGAAACTCATTAAGGTCCTTTATAAAAAACAATGCCGTCAATTAGCCACAACGCCGTGGTGGCATCAGGGAGCCTTAGGTTGTTTATAAGTGGTCAGACCGTGGTGGTAATTGGGCGCAATCGTGTCCATTTTATAAAAGATTAGGCGATGGCGGCATACTCCCTGTTCATTTTTTACTTCCTATACATTGAACAAATACATTTTTAATTAATTTCCTTCTTCAATGATTATATTTTACTTTTACTAAGCTCTCAATGTAGATGGTTGGTATTCAGGAAGCTGAGGCTCTACTATGTTTCTAAGACAGTACACTTCTTGACAAATGTGTCTGTTTACTTCAGGGAACTATTCTTCCAGTTGGTGGGGCACAAACTAAACCAGAGTGCTCCAGTGACCACCAGTACTTCCCTATTTTATGTTTCAGCCCTTGACATTTCTTAAGCTCCTCTTGTACCTTATCTTTATTGTGTCAGTCACTTGGGATCCTTATTTCTAATAACCCTGCCTGTTCTACAGTGTGTTGACTAAATCAATATTAATTAGCTGCTACTGGTTTCTTTGTGATTGTAGAAGTCCCACCTTACCATAGCCCTCTCTTTTTGCAACTTAAGTGATGAAAGTGCAGACTTTAACTGTGACACATCCAGCCTAAACGCAGCTCAGATGTTCCTGTATGCTATTCCAGCCACCTGGTTATGGTTAACTGCATCTTTCATGTGTGCTGAACTGTCTTATGGGCATCTTTGCTCAGCCTGTGTCCTGGGTCTTGAGATGAGAAAAACATCAATCACCTCATAATCATAGATTAAAACCAAAGTTCCAATTCTGAACTTTATAATAACAAAGTGAAGGAAGCACAACAAGTTAATTCAGAAAGGCTGTCCTGAACATGAATCCTTTGATAAAGTAAGATGTTTGTGCATTTTTAAAGTTATATTAGTACTACGGTCTATAAAAAAACATGTTTATATGGTTTAGTCTTTTCTTTTCTTTTTTTTGCACTCTTTCTTGCATAAAGTAATTTGTCACACAATCTCTGTTCTTGACATTTTGAGTATCTTCCAGAATGAGCCATCTCAGGGTTCTGTCACTTTAAACAAACAAGCTGTTACTGGCCACACCCACCCATCAAATGTCCCTGCGTGTGAAAACACAAACAGTGACATTTTGAAACAGGTGGACTGTTAATTTTTACTTTTGAGTGTTTATAGACTGTAGAGACTCTGTGGTCAAAGCAAAAGTGAAAAGTATCTCCTCGCTTTTTAACACAATGATCTGTCTCCTCAGCTTTTATTAGTTAGAAGCAGCTCATCACTAAATCAAGCAAATCAGCTGTGTTCACGATCTAAAACATGCAGAAAACATGCTGGAAGCAGACTCCAGCACCACGTCATCTCCACATACACCCCACCAGCAGGTTGCAGCCTAGCAACTCTGAAGTTGCAGTTGCGGTAATCAATTTAATTTAATTCAAGTTTATTTATATAGCACCAAATAATGATGAGTCATCTCAAGGCACTTCACAAACATTCCAATACAGTTTAGTTCATTAAGCCAATCAGTAAAACATGTCCTGAATAAGGAATCCAGCAGGTTGCATCAAGTCACTGACTAGTGTCAGTGACTTTACAGCAAGTCTCATACTAAGCAAGCATGTAGCAACAGTGGAGAGGAAAACTCCCT